TTTAATATTTTAAATAGTATAACTTATATCACATTATTAATTTTAATTTTAATTGTAAATTTTATTTATATTTATCATTATTTAATAAATAAACGTAACTAATATGCTAAAAAACAGTTATAGGAAGTGATTATTAGCTAACCTAAATGGAATTTGAGCTAGTGTGGTAGGTAAAAGGTACTAAGATAATTCACTATACGGTATAATATACTACAAAAAATTCGTTTTTTAAAATAATGCTGGGGTTTAATAGAAAATTTGAAATGGCACAAACCATGCTGTTTCTTTTTTTAATTCTAATTTTGGTTTTACCACAAATTTAAATAATTGAATAAAAGAATGGCACGCTCCGGCCCAGTGGCCTTGAGCCCTGGGTTAGGGCTGTTCACCTCCGTGGGTTGCACGTTCGAGCCCCACGGAACCCCTTTCCCCTCTCCCCCAATTAGCTTATAAATAATTACAAATTGATAAAAAAAAAAAATAATTGAATAAAAAATTTATAACCTATCATTCTCTTTTACTAATAATATATGTGACATTCGCTCAATTAATAATTTCATTTATCTTTATTACAACAGTTAAGTACTTGGCAACCCCTACCCAGATTATTCATCAAAAATAACTTTCTAAAAAAAATTCAAATTAAAAGATCAGCCGGAGAGAGCCAGAGCCAGAGCCAGAGCCAGAGCCAGAGCCAGAGACTGTAATTGCATAAACTCTAATACATTATCTACATTTTTCTTGAAACTCAGTTTTAAGAACAAAGTGGAGCAGTAAGATTTTTTTTTTAATAAAAAAAGTGTTTTACAGAGCAAATTATATATTAAAAGCACAATACTCTTATGAATTTACTCAAATACCTTTAATAAAATTATTTTTTATATTCTTTTATTATGAATATTTTAATAAATTCATAAGGCAAACTATATTTTTAGTATATAATCTACAATGTAATACATAAATCCTTTTTTCATATATTGAAAGTTTGTTGCTTAGCATGTTTTGAATATTTAACCTTAATTTTAAATTAAAATTTTTAAGTTAATGGATAATAACTTGATCAAACTCTTATTGGTAAATAGTGCAATAAGAAGTTTATATCTTTTATTTTTTTCGAAAAAAATTATAGATATATTAATAATTTAAACAATTACAATATAAATTATACCTTATTAAATAAGTTATGTAAAAAATATAAGGTACGTTAGAATGTATAACATTAACATAAAGAGCCAATGTTCATGACATATAGGACAATTAGTCATTGAAAACCTCCAAATATCAACATACATTATACAGGCATCAACAGAGCTATGAAAAAACAAAGAAAGATTATTCCGGAGTTTTTTATTCGCTCCTGGTACCACGCATATTTTTCCATCTAGTTTTAGCACAGGAGATCCAGAAGAATGGCATAGTAGCGTCCTTTAACACTAAAATGCTCTCTCAAAGGAGCGGTAAGAAGTTGAATTATCTAGTAGATTGAATAGAGATACAAATTCTCATCATTAAGATCACAACTTTATTGACTGGAAGTGTTAAAGGAAGTACCTTTGAGAAAGAGTGAAATTGCCTTAGAAATAATCATGTAGCAAACCCTCTTACCAATGAGATCAGGCCAAACTTCCGGCAGTATAATGGGGCTAAGGTTTCACCAATCCAGACAGGATTACATCGTCCCCGAATGTTATTCTGTTTAGTAAACACAAAGCAAGTAGAATACAACTAGAGAACCAAACATCATGCAAACAGCTGCATATGGAAAGGAGATAATCAATGATTATACATTAGATTTAGAACACTCCCCATTATATATTTTCAGGAAACTCAAGCAGTGGACTCCAAAAATGGATAATCAGTGTAACCAATAATGGGATCTTTTGTGTAGAAGGTCTCTCTGTTGTACTTATTGAGAGGAGCATTGAGTTCAAATCTCTGAGGCAAATCTGGGTTGGCCAAGAATGAACGACCATAAGCCACAAGATCCGTATGATTTTCAGCCACTGCTTTGTTTCCATCTTCCCTGTCATAACCCCCTGCAACAATGAAAGTTCCTTTGAAAGCCTTTCTTATGGGCAATAGACTGTCAGGAGATTCAACCTTTCCTCCGATGTTTTTCATTCTGGGTTCAACCACGTGGCAGTAGAGAATTCCATACTGATTCAATGCCTCAGCCATGTACAGGCCTAATGATTTTGGATTAGAGTCTGGTGCTTCACAATAGTCTGCAAAGGGAGAAAGTCTTATTCCAACCCTGTCTGCTCCTATCTCATTGGATACAGCTTCAACTATTTCTAGCGCAAATCTGCAGCGGTTCTCTAGAGATCCACCATATTGGTCTGTTCGATCATTCACCTGATCTTTCATAAACTGCTCAATTAGGTAGCCATGTGCTCCATGAATCTCAACTCCATCAAAACCTACATAACAGAAGAGTAAGTTGTTGAGTTCCAGAAGAGAAGAAAATGAGGAGGGGTCAGTTCTCTAACGAGGATTGCAAGAGAATTATTGCCTACCACAATACACTTTACTAAAACACCACTGCCTGTGAGCCATGAAAGGACAAGGACACTGCCTGTGCTCAATGACTGAAGGGTGACTAGATTAACCCCACAAACCACTTGAAGGTTAAAGTAAGCTCCACATTGTTTCTATAGTAACTGGGACTTAACTAAACACCACTGCCTGTGAGCCATGAAAGGACAAGGACACTGCCTGTGCTCAATGACTGAAGGGTGACTAGATTAACCCCACAAACCACTTGAACATTAAAGTAAGCTCCACATTGTTTCTATAGTAACTGGCACTCTATATTTACTGATTTACGTATATCCTAGACTTTCAAGCCTCTAGACAGTCATGATATATGCATCTACCAAAAGGGAAACATCAATAGATTCACCTATTGAACAGCGTTGTGCACATTTAAACTTTGAAGTAGAGATACTGAAACAGAACAGAACACCATTCAAGCATCACAATAATAGAAAAGTATCAATTTTTTGTTATAATCTTCTCCTTCAATCCTTTGTGGTACTAAATTCTATTTTATATTAGGGACATTCCTAATTCAATCATAAGTCAAACAAAAGTCACTTTTACTTACATCTTTTAGAAAGCCACAGGGAAAAAAGGTTTAACTTACCAGCTTCCATGGCATTCCTTGCAGCAAGTCTAAAATCATTAATAATTTTAGGAATTTCATCAGTCCTTAAACGCCGAGGAGGTGTGAATTGTGCAACATCTATACCATTAGCTCGAAGTTGTGGTCTTAATGGCTTATCTGTGCTAGAGATTGGAGCTTGCCCATTGGGTTGAAAACCTGTATGTAATAGCAAGGCTGAGCTAACTGATCACAAAAATTAAAGCAAAGAAGCCTTGTTTCGATTGAAACTGAGTTTGTTTGTCAATTGAATTTGACGGAATTATAAAGGGGCCATGTCAGTTGGAAGAGAAATATTACAGAACACAAGATAAATCATTACCTCCATACAGAGTGATATTAGATAAAGCCACTTCAAAATTGATCAAAAGATAGGCAATTTTCCTCCCTAGATCCTTCATAGTTGCTAAAATATCCCAGCTCAAATTCCATAGCCAATATCTTGTTAAAAATTATTTCTTTTCACTAAACCAATAATATTCCTTGTGATAAAAAAATATATTCCTTGTTAAATTAGTTTCACCTAAAGATCAGCACAATTATGATAAACTTGAAGCCTAACTAAATCCAAACATTTATTCAATTAGTATAGTACAATGTTAGTGTAAATAGTAAACACTCAGCCGGCAATCTAGCTATAAAGCGACAACTCAAAGCACAGTGCCTCTGAAAAGCACTCACCTGAATTTGAGACCCTTCCCACATGCCAAATCTGACAGAAAAAGATCCCACCTTTGGCATGAACAGCATCAACAATAGGTTTCCATGCCTCAACCTGCTCATTAGTCCATATACCCGGTGTGTCTGGATAACTTCACACACATAAAACCAATTTTTTTTTGTCAAAACATTATGTATTATCATTGTAATTACTAAGCACAAAGAAACGACAGTCTTAGCTATTAAGGTAAAGTTACCCTTGAGCAGTGTCAGAGACTCCAGTGGCTTCAGCGATAAGCAGACCTCCCTTGGAGGTTCTCTGGGAATAGTATAAGCTAGCATGTGGCTGAGGAACATTGCCGAACGATCTCTGTCTAGTCAATGGTGCAAGCACAATTCTGAAACCCATTTCCACAAATTCCAAACAACCATCAAAATCAGTTAAAAGCAACATTTTTTCGTCAAAATTTGTAAGATTGAGTACAGATTTTGCATCATCAAACAGGAAAAAGATGTTTAGAATTTTGGAGACTGAAATAAGGGAAGTACCGATGAGAAAGATTGAAGTTGCCCATTTTGTAGGGAGTAAACAGATGAATTGTGGAAAGTCCATTGCTGCTGATATTTTCTCCATCAACACCGCCTTTCATTTTGATTCAGTGCAAAACCAGGGATGGAGACAAACTTAGACGACAAAACACAACCTCCTCTGTTTTTATTTTCTCTGGTTGCCACACTGCTGTGCTCACCGTTACTCCTTTTCCCCGGCGGCGGCTAGAGATCTCTTTCTACTGGTTTCTCCTCTCCGTTATCTTCCCAGGCTTCCTTTCCTTCGCCCTTTGACTGTCACAGGTTGCCACACGTCCATTTTATTTTAAACGTGTGTTTGACAATTAAATACATGTGTACCTTTCTTTTTATAATTTAGCCCTGGGGAAAAAATTCAAGATTCTTCAATTTGTTTTCTTCCAATTGCATCCCTGAGAATAACACATTAAATTATTTTCCATCAAATAAATTCAATTAGAATCCTACTTTTTTATTACCTTATTTTATTTAAAGATTCAATTCTTGA